TGATCAATAAATCAGATAAAGACACGCATTAAAGTTGGATAACATCATTTAATGTCAGTGTTGTTGTAAAAGGAAACCCTTGTCAAGTGTTGCAACTCACTCGATTTGATAGTAACTACTGAATAGTAGTTTCTTAAGAAAAATTGGCGTCAACGTCTAAAGAATATATCAGTTCTTCATATCTGGAAAAAAATACCTTCTTCCTTTACTCTTTTAGTCTCCAGCAAATTTGTTACCAAGCAGATTGTTTAGAATCAGGTCTTAAACAATTATGAAAATTATCTCCCTCACTTCCACAACAAATCTGTAATTCCTTTATTTTATAAATATAGAGAATTAAAAAGTGAAAATCAGTTGTGTTTGGATTCAACCCTTTCTACAAACATTTAACGTGTTAGTCATTACCCTTCAAGGACCAACAAGTAGTATCAGAGGAGTTTGTTTAACTTCATAAACAAGATATGTAATGACTTCCACAAATAATTGCAATGGATCCTTATCCAAACCCCCTTGTTTCAGAAATATAATTTTTTTTTTGGAATAATTAGTTGATTCTTTTTCTTGAAGAAATGACAATCAAATTCTTAGCATCTTAAAAAACGGTCTATTTGTTCCTACTGCCTTCTTATCTGGAGAACATGATGAAAATGACAAAGTAATTGGACCAAGAAGGCAAATCATTATTACTCTAGATCTATGAACATATGATGATAGGAAACAAGTTGCAATTGATAATAACTATAGAATTATCATCATGATGTCATTAATCAATGGTGTTTATCACTCTATCATGAACCTGTAAACTACAAGGGACATGTGGAATACTCTTACTCTTCTATATGAAGGCATTGCTAAGGTCAAGCAGTGTAAAAAGATCAGACTCGTCAAGAAATATGAATTGTTTGTATGCAACAAAAATGAATCTGTTACAGATGTCTACAACAGATTCAATTCTCTTTAAATGATCTTAAAGTGCATGATAAGATTTTTGATAATGATGAAGTATTATGAAAATTTGTGGATTGTTTGTCTGATTCTTGAAAAAATATCACTTTGCGTTTAAAAACGTCTAAGGATCTACATCACTTTCCTTTAACTGCTTCATATGATACTTTGTACAACTATGAGCAAACTAAGTTAAGAAAAAATGTCTTCCAATACTCCAAATTACAAATAAAGCTTTTGTCTCTTCTGACTCGAAAAAGTCTAGTTCAATGTCACATCTTGTTTATGACACTAACTCTAAAGATACTCAGAATCTTAATGATAATATCAATTGATCCTACTAAATACTCTGATAGTGGAACCAATAACTTATCCATGCAAGATGTTAGTGATTCAATATCCTTGGTTGCATCTAACTTTTACAAAGTTGCTAGAAAAGGTGTTTTTAGAGTTAAGTCAAAAGGAAGATTCTTTAGATGTCTACCATCCTCGAACCAAAAGATGAGTGCTACAAATGTGGAAAGAAAGGTCATTGGGCCGCCGATTGTAGATTCAAAAATTTAACCTCTTCCTACCCCCTCAAAATCTTCCCAAACCTCTAAGTCCTCCTATAAAGGATCAGGAAATGATAAAAAAAGGAAAAAAGCACAGAAGTGAAAAAAACAAGAAACCTTCAAAGAAAGGAAAAGGGAATGATGGTTGAAGAACATGACTAGGTAGATTCATCCCCATCATCTTCCGATGACGACCAAGGAGATAAAAATAAATGTATCCTTTGTGGCTCATATCACTGAACTGAGTGATTAAGAAAAATATTTATTGTTGGATATACGTCATCTCCAAAATTTGAGTCCTCAAATCTTCCTAGTCTTGAAAGCAAGGTTCACTTTCCTTCTCTATATGATGATCACATGTACGTTGAGATGTGCAATGCGGTATAATAATAAAAAAAGTTGAAATAAAAAATATAGGACCTAACTATAAAACTTTCTGAATGTTATGATAAGTTAAAATATTTTTAACAAAATTCAAAATGATATGAAAGATCAAAAGATTAATATCTTAATGATGAAAAATGAAATATGGCTGGAAAACTAGCAAAAGAAAAAGTTGTTAAAAACTGGTATCAAGCCTCCATCGATCAACGAAAGATCATTGAATATCAAGTTCTAACTACGGTCATGGATTGGGTTTCTCCGCTCTTCCAAATAAATTTGGCATTCTGTCAAATGATTTCACGTACTCTAAGGAAACCACTTTTTCAGAATATCATTCCTGTGATCCTTTAGAAAATTCTCAAAACTATTAAGAATAGAAATGACCTTTTAAAAATTTTCATCCAAGCATCACATCAAATATGGACTGACTATGTGTTAGAAAACAAGGATTGTGAATATGTAGGATCATCCACTCATCCTTCTGAGAGACCCAATATGTCAAAAGGCAAAAGCGTTGTCAAAACTTAAATTCCTTCTGCTTTTGGAAATACTTTTTCGATGACTTGGTATGCATAGACCCCATCATCCAGATGTTCTCAATTCGGATTCCCAATTATTTGTCACTAACATTCATCCATTACACATACCATCCATTTCACAACCCAATCCTTACATCCACATAACCTACTTCACATATTCACTTTTTGGATAGATCACAACCAACCGTTGAAACCCATTCTGGATGTGATAATCTCCATCAAATCTAGACATTATATGCTCTTCTGGCCCAGGCTGTGGATTATCTATGTAAGTTTAGTCTACAAACTCGTCTATCCATAGCACATATGGCTACCTTTGATCAGCAGCTGATGGAACAAAATCTCCTGTTATCTAAATGATATCGTCAAACTAAAGAGGTCTTAAGAAGCATGTTGAATATCATGATATGTAGTATAAATGCATGGATAGATTGCTCAAAAGGATTGAAGATCTTGAAAGTTCTCAGGATCATTGTAACAAGATCATGGATGATGGTGTACTCTATTAGAAGACCATTGTTGATTACTTATTTCTTCTTCTGAAAACCTACAACGACTAAGTGGGAAGATCGATGAGTACCAATCATATATGATCTCGGTAGCAAATAATATTGGTACATCCATGGGAAGTGTTCAAAGTCAGGTTCAAAAGCTAACTCATCCAACCTTAGTGATATAAAGGATCCTCTTCGGAAGTTGAATGTAAAGATGGGTGCACAAAACAAAATCTCTCGCCCTCATTATTCAGAAGTTGTCTTAACATGTTTCCCTCATAGAATCTTTTCAACATTCATTATGGATGATAAGGAACATAACCAAAAAAAAAACCAAGAAGCTTGGAAGGTTATTTGATCATTTGATTGAACAACTTCAGACTCGGTTGGACCCATCTCCAAGTGTTAGTGAAGGGGAGAGAACAAATCATGCCACTAAATTTGGAATGGATAATGATGAAGAATAAGCTTATAAAATATCTGAGGAAGATACATTAAAAAGAAGGATTCATATATTGAAATTATTAAAGGGGAGAAATAGGAGGAATAAGATTTGAAAGATAATGATCCAATAGTTGAGGAGATTCAAGTGAATAAGTCACATTCTTTCCATCAGAAACAATTCTCCCATCAGATACCATTATCTCAGTCACTAAGATACTCCTTCGACAACTATGGATAAAGGAAAAAGGATAATGGCATTTGGAAAATAAGCGTATGATTTAATGTCAAAGAAGGAAGAAAAGAAAGAAATAATTTGACGTGCTTTTGAAGCCACTCGTTCGAATAGCTCTTTCGATACTCTAATCTTACGTCCTCTTTCACTACCAAAATCTACAATATCATACTTTAGTCTATCTAATGATTAATTGGCTGTTGTAAAAACATTCTGTTGATCCTCTCTCTCAGTGATTTGATGATAATTCATTTTTCCTTTCGATGTATTTTATGTTTCTGTACTTTCAGTTCCAGCGATCAATACATTGAGCATGTTCAGTGATCGCTGAAGAACTCACATTGTAATTCATTCAGAGACAACTACTTCAAGAAAACAACACTCACACCAAAGATCCTTCAGCAAACATCGAAGACTGAAACTGAAGATTAGAGACTGGCACGTACGTGATCTGAAGCGGTATTCAGTGATTACAAACCTGTCTAGCTATGTGTGAAGACTGCTCTAGCTTCAGCGAATGATGATGA